AGATCTGAGGATCGTGGTTCAAAGCCAGCCCGGGCAGGAAAGACCGTGAGACTCTTGTCTCCAATAAACCACCAGAAAACCGGAAGTGGCGCTGTGGCTCAAGTGGTAGAGTGCTAGCCTTGAACCAAAAAAGATCAGGGACAGCTTCCAGGCCCTGAGTTCAAGCCCCAGATCTGGAAGAAAGAAAAAAAAGCCACCGAGGTAAAGATGCATGTACTTCTACTGAAGTTTGGATATCCAACATACATATTGTCAATCTGTCCATCTGTCCCTCCCTTCCTCTCTGGGCGCTTCAGGCTGTGTCCCCTGAATATCCTTGTGTCTGAAGAAGGAAACATGCTTAGGCTTCCTCCAATCTAGCCACTCTATGGACTCTTATACATCTGTTTTGCTAGAAATCAGTATGGAAGCTTGGGGAGTTCTGGTTTATCGGAAGTGAAGTCTGCAGGCTTCCTCCTCAGTTGTCTAGGAGACACTTAGTATCATTAAGCATCCATTATATGCAACCTCAGTAGAGTTATCTGGGTGAGGTCTGGCCTTCTGCTAAGAGCCATCACACAGAGGGGGCTGTATTCAGGGAGTGCATCGGTTTAATTGATTTGAAGTTGTCCAACAAGGAGCCCATTATTGGACTGGAAGGACAACAGCTGTGCTAGTCATCAAAGCAGGCTGGGGGTATTTGCTTTTCCCAGAACTAACAAGGCTAATAGCATTCAATGATTGTCAATAGCTGTGTCATAGAACAGATCCCAGCCAAACTGTGTTTTTTTGTTGTATTGTGTTTTGTTGGGTTTTTTGTTTTGTTTTGTTTTGTTTTTTGTCAGTTGTGGGGCTTGAACTCTGGGCCTGGGCGCTGTCCCTGAGCTCTTCAGCTCAAGGTGAGCACTCTACTTCTCTTGAGCCACTGTGCCACTTCCAGTTTTCTGGTGGTTAATTGGAGAAAAGAGTCTCATGGACTTTCCTGCCCCAGCTGGCTTTGAACCACAGTCCTCAGATTTCAGCCTCCTGAATAGCTAGGATTACAGGTGTGAGCCACCAGCACCCAGATAAATTTTTTTTAATTTTTTTTGAACATTTTCAAAAGCCATGTGTAATAACCAGTGTTTGCACTCCATTTTCCATAATTGGCTTCTACTTGTTTCTTATTGGGTTGGGTTTTGGGGAATTTTGTTTTGTTTTGCATGCTAAGGCTTGAACCCAGGACCTCGCAAATGCTACCCAGGTGCTCTGCCCACTGAGCTACACTCCCATTGTGCTTTCCCTGTATCTAAAATACAGGGGAATACTACCACACCCATGCTGAGATGGAGTCTTAAAAGCTTCTATACTCAGGCTGCCTTCAAACTGCAATCTCCACCTCCCAGGTAGCTAGGATTACAGGTTTGAGCCACACCCATCTGCTTTTCCTATTTTCTTCTAAGTGTTTACTTCCTTAAATCTTTGATCCATGTTGAATACTTTTTGTTCGTGGTAAACTGAAGGAAGGTCATCTTGGGTTATCATCATCGAACTTTTTTGCCAAGTACCTTTTCACCACTACATGCTATGGGCACCATTATCAAATACCATTTGGCCATACATGAGATTTATTTCTGGACTTCAACTTCTTTATCATCTGGAAGATAGAAGCTTGTATGTTTCCATCCCCAGCACTGCAAAACCCCAACCAAAACAAAAAAGTTTGGATGTTGCAGAGTTCTGAAGATGGAGAACTGTTGGGACTACAGAACACAATGTGCATATACTTTATGACATTAGCTACAGAGTTTAAAAAAAAAAAAAAAGTGGCTCAGACCTATAATCCTAACTCAGAAGGCTGAGACTTAGAGGAACAACATTTGGATCCAGCCCAACAGAAAAGTCTGAGGATCCATCTCTAATTAACTAGTAAAATGCTAGACTGGAGATGTGGCACAAGCGTAGAGTACCAGGTATGAGCAAAAAGCCAAGCAAGAGTACAAGGCCTTGAGTTCAAATCCCAGTACCAGGACACAGCCATGCTGGAGGTGTGGCTCAAATGGTAGAGCACCAGCTAAGTAAGCATGAGGCCAAGTTCAAATCCTAGAAGTGCTAAAGGGCAGAAAAAAAGAGTTCAGTTGAACTTGGTGTGGTGATACATTCCTGTTATCCTAACCCTTGGGAGGCTGAAGCAGGAGGATCAGAAGTTTGAGGCCAGCCTGGGCTACACAGTGAAGCCTTGTTGCAAGGGGAAAAAGTAACACCTCTGTATATCACCTTCTCCTATCCCCAATCCTGGAACTTGAACCCAGGGGGCCTAGGCACTGTCTCTGAGCTTCTTTTTTTTTTAGGGTCCGATCGTGGGGCCTGAACTCTGGGCCTGTGCGCTGTCCCTCAGCTCTTCAGCTTAAGGCTAGCACTCTACCACTTGAGCCACAGTGCCACTTCTGGCTTTTTTCTTATGTGGTGCTGGGGAATCGAACCCAGGGCCTTGAGCATGCAAGGCAAGTGCTCTACCACTGAGCCACCTTTCCAGCCCCATGTCTCTGAGCTTTTTTTGCTCAAGGCTAGCACTTGAGCCACAGCAACACTTCTGGCTTTTTCCATTTATGTGGTACTGAGGAATCGAACCGGGGCTTCATGCATGCTAGGTAGGCAAGTACTCTACCACTAAGCCACATTCCTAGCCCCTATATCACCACTTTTTTTTTTCTTTTTGGTCAGTTGTGGGGCTTGAACTCTGGGCTTGGGCGCTGTCCTTGCACTCTTCAGCTCAAAGCGAGTGCTCTACCGCTTAAGCTACAGAGCCACTTCCGGTTTTCTAGTGGTTTATTGGAGATAGGAGTCTCACAGACTTTCCTGCCTGGGCTGGCTTAGAACCGTGATCCTCAGATCTCAGCCTCCTGAGTAGCTAGAATTATAGGCATGAACCACCAGCGCCCGGCTATATCATCTTTTTATAATAACCATAAACATGTTTTTAAAAGTTCAAATGATAAATTTTATATTTACCATAGTAAAACAAAATGATCAAAAAAATAAAAATAGCAGCACGGCCGAGAAGAGCTGAATGAGGAATGATCAGTACCAGCACTGTGACATTTTAAGCTAGATCACCCTTGAGGGACTGTGTACTGCAGGGTAGTTTAGTGGCATCCTTGGGGTTGGCTTGACAATAGCAGAAGCTGCCAAACATCCCCTGAACCATGAAGGTTCTCTGGGAACATTGTGATTCTACTTCTGCCCCTCGGCTCTCTATAATTTATTGGAGGCCACACAATAGAGCCTGAGTCACATGGCCTTTGCAGTCTCTCCCTGACTCCCTGACCCAAGCAGCATGACTGAAAGTTCCTCAGAAGCCATTTCTGCCTGAAGCTTCCTTCTCCACACCTCATCTCCTTCATCTTCCTTACAGTTCCAGCGGAATCAAACAAGCTTGACAGTGATTTTAGGAAAATTCTTTAATAAAATTTATTTTTTTTAAAAAATGCAACCTTTGGAACAGCTTTTCTTTTCCACTCCCCAAGAAAATACAAAATTATCCACACCTCCACACATATACACTCAAAAACTACAGAGACATTCTCTACGCCACACTCCCTTAGATAAAGTGGTAAGGGCAGAATTAGCAATGTGAGTCCCAAAACTGATTGAAGGTATGATTTTTCCTTTTTTCCCCAGGTAAAGCAATTTCAACAAAATTCTGCAGTCGCTGTCAAAATCTGAAAATGTGCATTCTCAATTAAGAGAAAAGAATATTCAAATCTGTGCTTCCCCCCCTTCTTCACACCCTCTATGACAGTGTTTTATACCTGATGTTAAATATATATATGTATGTATGTGTGTGTGTGTGTGTGTGTGTGTGTGTGTGTATATATATATATATATATATATGTCCTGTATTTCCAACACACACCTGGAATTCGGTGACCTGGGTATAGAGTGGCCAGGTTTTCTGCAAATACCATAAAAGCAGGCACTTGGGGATTCTAGGCTTCAGGTACAAAAGAATCCAGGAGAAGAAACATTGTGCCAGAATTTTCAGGAAGGGAAGCCATTTGCCTCCATCAACCTCAGCACCAGGTGACTAGATAGCAGCCAGAGGCCCTGTCCTCACCCCCCGCCCATCTTTTGCGTTTCCTGTCTTCCTTTGGCAGTGGCACGATGAACACTGTTGCTGAGTCTCAGAATACACCAATCTTGTGTCAGTGATAAAGACACATGAAAATTTCAGTGGCACCTGAAAACAGCGCCTTTTATGGCCCAGCCTCCTTGCACGGAAGCAAGGAAGCCTGTAGTGACACAATGTTAGCACTGCCTCAGAAAAGACATTTCAAGTGAGTGCTGAGGACCTGGAAAACGACATTCATGAAGGGGCTAAGTACACACACCACCAGCCGAGATACAACCAGACAAAACATGAGCCGTTTACTCTAAAAGAACCCAGTCATTTCTGTGTCCAGAAACTCCCATCTGGGAGAGAAGGGACAGAATTCAGGAGTATAAATGGATAGCAGAACATAAAACATTAGTGCATACAATTTAAAGAGAAAATTGTTTTACCAGGCAGTACATGCCTGTAATCCCAGCACTAGAGAGGCAGAAGCAAGAGGATCATGAATCAAATCTAGACTGTGTGTATATATAGAGAGGAGGAGGGCGAGGGAGGAGTAGAGAGAGAGAAATCCTGTCTAAAAGGAAAGGGAAGGAAGGAGGAAAGGGAGAAAAATGTATATACACAACAAAACAGAAGTTCCTTCCTTTGACACATGAAGGAAGCTCTCAAGATCATCTACAACTTGCTAGCAGAACCCCTGAGGTTGGAGTTCCTCTTTTGAAATAAAATTCAGAGAGCTTCGGGACATGATGACTATGGAAAGAGTCCAAAAAAAAAAAAAAAAGACTCAAGGAATACGTGAGGAGTTTGCTAACAGCGGAGAGCTCTAAAATAGAACTGCATCACAGATCAGTCTCTTTCCGGAAGGAAAACCTCCGGGAACAGCTCTGAAAGTCCATCCTCCAGCAACGTCATTCCACATTCGCAGGGCTGGGGTTGGGGCACAGGAACGTGACTCCGGGGTCCCCTAGTTGTCCTCTCCACCTCCGTACATGTCGGCCAGCTTCTTGAAGCGGTTGCCCCACTCGTTCAGGTAGTCGTAGTCCTGGTCCTGGTCGGACTCGGAGGAGTTCAGGGAGCTGAGACTGGCCGCCTCAGAGCCGCTGCCTTCGTAGTCGAACACCAGCAGGGAGTCGTAAGGGGGGGCTGTGGGGTCACTGTCGGCCGCCTTCAGGTTCTAAAGAAGAGGAACGCAGTAGGATCAGCAAGGGCACGGCCAGATGCCTCAGGTGCCCTTATGGGACAAAGCACCCCAGAGCGGTTTGCAGGGTGTCATCTTAATGAACTGGCATGGGGAAAGGTGGGGGGGTAGAGGGGGGGAGACATGAGGGTGAAGAGAGAAAGTGATGGGCAAACAGGCAGAGTTGGTAACCCCTAAACCAAAATGACAAATGAAATGTAGGCAATGGGGCTGGGAAGATGGCTTAGTGGTAGAGTGCTTGCCTAGCATGCATGACGCCCTGGGTTCAATTCCTCAGTACCCCATACACAGAAAAAGCCAGAAGTGGCATTGTGGCTCAAGTGGTAGAGTGATAGCCTTAAGCAAAAAGCTCAGGGACAATGTCCAGGCCCTGAGTTCAAGACCCAAGACTGGCCAAAAAAAAAAGATAAAAAGAAATGTAGGCAGGGCTGGGAAGTTGGCTCAGTGGTAGAGCGCTTGCCTTGCATGCCTGAGGCCCTGGGTTCCATTCCTCAGCACCACATAAGCAAAAAGAAAAAAGCCAGAAGTGGCACTGTGGCTCAAGTGGTAGAGCGCTAGCCTTGAGCTGAAGAGCTGAGGGACAGCGCCCAGGCCCAGAGTTCAGGCCCCACGCCCGGACCCAAAAAAAAAAAAAAAAAAAAAAAAAAAAGAAATGTAGGCAATCAAGATGATTCCCCAAAACCAGGGAAGGGATCCCACAGCACCAGCTAGGATGAACAGAAGCTAATAATGAGACGCTCATACATACAGTGCGCATACAGGCTGCTTTTCATCCCTGAAACCTCTGGAAGGATAAATGCCAGCACTAGGGCTTCAACTCAGTGCCTGGATGCTATCCATCACTGCAGCCACAGTTCCACTTCCAGCTTTTTGGTAATTAACTAGAGATCAAAGTCTCATGGACTGTTCTGCCCAGGCTAGCTTTGAACTGAAATCTTCAGATCTCAGCTTCCTAAGTAGCTAGGATTTACAAGCATCACTGGCACCTGGCCTAAGGCTCTATTTGAAACATTTTCCTTCTTTTTACTGCAGAGTTTAAAGATCTATTGCACCTGGTGCAATTGGCTCTGTCTACTTACCTCATCAATAAAATTGCCAATTTCATCAGGATTGGCAGGGCGGGGGCGATACTGGGGCACACTCATGAGGGTTGGCGCCACGTCATTGCGAGTCACTTCCGGCCGAGCATCCAGGCCCCTGTGCAGCTGGCTCAGGTCAAAGTCCTTAGGAGAAAAAGGCAGAAGATGACAAAGAGTGAAACGAGCCATGAAACGAGCCACATTCATGTACACAGAGCTGGGTCTGCTTTGAGGACTATGGCACCTCACTACCATGTATGTGATATTTGACAGTCTGTACCCATCTCAGCATGAAATGATTTTCCAATTAACAGTCTTCCAGCCAGCAGTTGAAAATTAGTAGCACTTATGGACATAGATATAAATTCCTGTGTCTTGTTCACTTTTTTGTTGTTTTTACTGGGGATTGAACTCAAGACCTTGTGTTTTCTAGGCAGGTACCCTACCAATTGAGCCAGGCTTCCAGTTACTTTTTAGTTTGTTCACAGAGGGTCTTGTGATTTATTTATTTATTTATTTTTCTGCCTGGGCCAGCCTTGTACTTAGATTCTCCTATCTCTACCTCTCAGAAGTTGGGATTACAGATGGGCATGACCACAACCTCTTACTCACTTTTCCTTCTTCCCTTCCTTTTATTTGTTGGTCATGGGGCTTGAACTCTTGGCTGGGCACTGTCCCTCAGCACTTCAGCTCAAAACTAGCGCTCTACACTAAAGCTACAGTGATACTTCCAGTTTATTGGAGATAAGAGTCTCATGGACTTTCCTGCCTGGGCTGGCTTTGAACTGCAATCCTCAGATCTCAGCCTCCTGAGTAGCTAGGATACAGGCGTGAGCCACGAGCCTCTAGCTCTTACTTTTCCTAGGGCATGATCAGTAGGCTATTATTTGGTAATCATCCACTCATTCCCCAACCTAGCTGCTGAGAGAGGATTAGAACCCATGGATGTTTTTGTCATGTGACACACACACACACACACACACACACACACACACACACACACACACACACACACACACAAACAATGTCAGAGAGCCTACTGGTAGAGAGAGATGACACTCTGGGAACAAAGCAGACTTCTATATAACTTGTCACTTAAATACATTCAGCAAAACTCTGCCTGGATCAGCTGAGCCCCAGCCAACCCACAAATTCTTTGAGCGTATGTTCAGCAATCTCTCCAGAGAACTAGAACATATAAAAAAGCCATGCTTCTTGTGTGCCACTGAGTTTCTGAGGTTGGGTAGTATACAGCAGTACTACAGTGACTGTCCACTGACACAATCTACATGGTATTTTCAATAGATTTAAAAGCCTCTTGAGGCTGGGTGTTGGAGCTCACACCTGTAAACTCAGTCGAATGGAGGTACAGCAAAGATCATAGCTCCAGGCACGACTTTTTATCATAGCCAATAAAAAGCTTGGCATCATCTGTCTTCCCAGCTTTCCAGGAATCACCATGAGGAACATCATACTCTGGGCTGGCTTGGGCATAAACTCAAGACGCTATCCAAAAAATAACTAAACGAAAAGAGACTGGGTGTGTGGCTGAAGCTGTAGAGTATCTGCCTAGCAAGCACAAAGCCCTAAGTTCAAATCCTGGTACCACCAAAAACAAAGGGTGGAAAGCAGTCATGGCGAATGTCTGCTTCTTTTCCAAATGAAGAGAATGCTATTACATCTTTCACATGCTTAAATGTACCTGGTCCTCTTCACCACCTCCTTCTTCATCATAGTAATAAACGTTGTCCCGGGTGTCATCTTCTGGGGGCAATAAGGGCTCTTTGACGGCCCTTTTCCTCCTCACAAACAGCAGGAGCAGCAGGGTCAGGACTGGAGTGGAAAAAGGAGGGATAGTGAGGAGAGGCAGACGCAAGCAGGTCCACAGGAAGCAGCCCTCATGCAGGCAGGTGGCCAGGGACAGCCAGTGGCTGCCTTTGAGACAATTGTCACCAATGTACATGGTGTCATGTCACTTTGTACAACAAAGTAGACCATGGCCCTAGGAGTTTTTTGTTTTTTTTTTTTTCCTGCTGCTGCTCGTCCTGAGACTTGAACTCAGGGCCTGGGTGCTGTCCCTGAACTATTGTTTTTGCTCAAGGGTAGTACTTACTACCTGGCCATAGTACCACTTTCAACTTTTTGGTAGTTTGTTGAAGTAAGAGTCGCATGGACTTCCCTGCCTGGGCTGGCTTTGAACCACGATCCTCAGATCTCAACCTTCTGAGTAGCTAGGATTACAGGCATGAGCTACCGGCGCCTGGCTGTGCTTTTCTCTGTGTGCCCAATTACTAATATATTACATACTAGTGGGCTGGAGGCATGGCTTAAGTGGTAGAGCACCTACCTAGCAAGCCTCAAGCCCCTGAGTTCAAATCCCAGTACCACCAAAAGAGAAAAGTTACACATTAGCAAAAAACTTCTTTATCAGCTCAGTGAAATGGGAGTGTGCAGCAAAGACATCTTCTAAATGTAGTCAATTTCTTTCTTTCTTTCTTTCTTTTTTTTTGCTGGTCATGGGGCCTGAACTCTGGGCCTGGGCCCTGTCCCTCAGCTCTTCAGCTCAAGGCAAGCGCTCTACCACTAAAGCCACAGCGTCACTTCCGGCCTTTTCTGTTTATGTGGTGCTGAGGAATCGAATTCAGGGCCTCATGCATGAGAGGTAAGCACTCTACCACTGAGCCACCTTCCCAGCCCTGTACTCAATTTCTGAATGAGAAAGATGCTAGAAGTCAGTCACCAACGGTTCATAAATCCTAAACTACTCAGGGGCTGAAATCTCAAGGACTGCAGTTCAAAGCTAGCCTGCAAAAGGAAGTCTATAAGACTCCATCTGCAATTAGCCAGCAAAAAGTTGGACCAGAGGCATGGCTCTGGTGGCAGAGCTTCAGTTGAGTAAGCTTGGAAAACACCCAAGGATGAAAAAAGATGAAATAGTAGGAAGGCTGGCTTCCCTGTGGACTTCATGGAACAGGGCAGGGCTGCTTTCTGGTCCTGGGCTGCTTGTCCCTGTAATTTTCAGTAAGAGACAAGCTTCTATTTTATTGAAAACACCATCTTTGAGAGCCTTTTCCTTTGTTTACCCTGAATCCTAGCCCCCCAAAAAAGTCATTTCTAGAGGATGATGCTTCCCATCTGAGAAGTGAAAGGCTGGACAGCCTGGCAGTACTTACGCAGAACAGCAAGGATTCCTCCCAGGATGCCCAGAATGGCGGACACTTGCAGTCCTGCTTCCACATAATTGGCTCTCATGCAGTTGTTCACGGCCCCTTCGCAGTCACACACGATGACATCCAACGTGGTCACCTGGTCTTTGTTCTGGTTATCCATGAGCTTCAGATTGATTTTGTAGTCACCCAACTCGAGATGCTTCTTTGGTTTCAAAATGAGAGACTCTTGGGCTGGAGAAAGTAATAAATAATGAGATCAAGAGAAGGAAAAATAACAAAGAACTTATTCTCTGTGTGTGTGTGTGTGTGTGTGTGAGAGAGAGAGAGAGAGAGAGAGAGAGAGAGAGAGAGAGAGAGTGTGTCAGTCAGTATTGGGGCTTGAACTCAGGAGGACCTGGGCATTCTCCCTGAGCTTTTTTGCTCAAGACTAACTAGTACTCTACCACTTGAGGCACAGCAACAGTTCTGCCTTTTTGGCAGTTATTTAGAGATAAGAGTCTCATGAACTTTCCTGCTTGGGCTGGTTTTGAACCTTGATCCTCAGATCTCAGCCTTTTACATAGCTACTAGGATTACAGGTGTGAGCCACCAGCTCCTGGCTCATTCTTGAATATAACTACTAGGGAACTAAAGACATGCCAGAGGGCTGGGAAGGTGGCTCAGTGGTAGAGCGCTTGCCTGGCATGTCTGAGGCCCTGGGTTCGATTCCTCAGCACCACATAAGCAAAAAGAAAAAAAAAGCCAGAAGTGGTGCTGTGGCTCAAGTGGTAGAGCGCTAGCCTTGAGCTGAAGAGCTGAGGGACAGCGCCCAGGCCCAGAGTTCAGGCCCCACGACCGGACCCAAAATAAAAAAAAAAAAAAGACATGCCAGAACTGGGCATGCCGGCACTGGTGGCCTGTAATTCTAGCTACTCAGGAGTCTGAAATCTAAGGATCCCAGCACAGGCTCTTATCTCCAATTAGCCACTAGAAAACTGGAAGTGGTACTGTGACTCAAAGTGGTAGAGTGCTGGCCTTGAGCGAAAGAGCTCAGGGTCAGCACCCAGACCCTGAGTTCAAGTCCCATGACCAACCAAAAAAGACATTCCAGAGCAGAGGGAAGAAAGCAGAGCTGCATGGCCGGTGATGTCTGCGCAACAGGAGACAAAGGCAGGGAAGGTGGGGGGCCTTTGATATGGTGCTTTGAATGTTCTTAGAAAGCCTGGTGTGTGGAACCACACAGGAAACTCAGATGTGGGGACTGCGGAGGGAGAAGTTTGGTGGGCAGAGCTTGAGTTCCCACCTGGATCGTTGTATTCGATGGTCCAGTTCACACTGGCCCCATGGGTCAGCTCAGCCGTGAAGGGAGAAGTATTGGGGGGAAGGTCTGGATCAATGATGTTGATGACTTGGGGTTGAGGATTCCTCTGGCAGAAGTGTAAATTCCGAGGTTCAGGAATGGGGGCGTTGTCATTCACGTCGGAGAGGACCAGGAGAAGGGTTCCCGTTCCGGTGGCGACTGGAGAACCTACAAGGAAACATAGAGGAACACCAATGACTCCTTCCTCCTCTTCAACCTCCAGTACCAGCACCAAAAACAAAAAAGTTAGGAGAGAAAGAATAGTCAGGAGACAGTAGCTCATGCCTATAATCCTAGCTACTCAGGGGACTAGGATCTGAGGATCATGGTTCAAAGCCAGCCCAGACAGGAAAATCCAGGAGATGCTTTATCTCCAATTAACTTCTAAAAGAATCAGGCTGGAAGTGGGACTTTGACTCAGGCTAGCCTTGAGCCCAAAAGCTCAGGAACAGTGTGCCCAGGTCCTGAGTTCAAGCCCCAGGACCAGCATCACGAAAGAGGAGGGGTAGGAAATGAACTCACAGACCAAGGAGGGCAGGGCAGAGGAGGGAGGTTCACCAGGAGGGCCAGGCAGCCAGGGCCCCTGGTGGCCTCGTACCATTGTCAGTGGCGATGATGAGGGCCGTGTATGTGCTGTTCTTCACGTGCTCCAGGTCCTCTCTGTCCATCTCAGCCAGAGTGAATATGGCACCAGTTTCTGGATCAATCTTCAGCCAGTTGGCAGTGTCCCTCCAAATTCGGTACCTGGGGAGATGCAAGCGTGGGCTTAGACTAGGAACAGCGCGCGGAATGGAGCTGAAGAACAATCTATCCTCAGTCTTCCCCTCCCCCGCCACACCCAGTCGCCTCACACTTACGTAATTGTCTGTTTCATAAAGACGTCTGGCTCCCGGGCAGTATAGGATGTTATCTCCAGACCCACACCAAAATCTTCAGGCACTTCTACTTTCTTTTCGGGGGGCACAAAGATGGGGGCTTCGTTCACGTCTATCACGTCCACAGTGATGGTGGCCGTGGAGGTGAGGAGACTCACGGCAAAGGCATCCACGTTCTGCACAGTAACTTGTAGAATGTACTGCTGCTTGGTCTCAAAATCCAAGCCCTGGAGAAGCAGAAGAGATAAAAAATAAAAAGCAAATAAAATACTCAGGCCCGGAGTCTGACTCCCACAGCACACAATGATGATGAATAAAGAGCAAGAGATATGCTAGGTAAAAAACACTTTAAAAAATCCCTTGAATATTTCTTTCAAACATGCTACTCTAAGCATCTCTTAGCAGACTAACTTCAAGGCACCACCAGGGCTTGAACTCAGGGTCTTGCACCCTGGCTCAGCTTTGTCACTTCTGCTAGCACTCTACCGTGAGAGCCAAAACCCACTTCCGGCATTTTTGCCAGAGTTAACTGGAGATAGAGTCACCCAGATTTGTCTGCTCAGGCTGGCTTCAAACCGTGAATCCTTAGATCTCAGCCTACTGGGCACCAAGAGTTGATTTACAGGCATGGGCTACTAGTGCCCAGTTTACCTACAGCTAGAACATTCTTCAAAAAGCTTGACTTCTAAAATAGTCTAACAAAATAGCCAAGACTAGTCTACGCTGCTCCCTCTCATTTGTGAAGGGGTTTAGGGAAGGCAAATGGCTGTGGAAAGAACTTGCTAGAGCCAATGGTACTTACGTCCTCTTTGATCTCAGAGTAGAGTCACAGCAAACCCCTATATCCTCGGTCCACCCAGACTTGGGAAAGCCGCCACACCTTCATCGTGACAGTGCTAACCCACTTCTGAGAAGACTCCAGGAGACAAGGGAGAGACACTACAGGGGTGCTGTATCTTTTTTTTTTGCTAGCCCTGGGACTTGAACTCAGGGCCTAGGCACTGACCCTGATCTTTTTTGCTCAAGGCTAGGACTCTACCACTTGAGCCACAGCATCACTTCTGGCTCTTTCTGCTTATGTGGTACTGAGGAATCAAACCCAGGGCTCCATGCATGCTAGGCAAGCACTCTACCACTCAGCCACATTCCCAGCCCTGGGGTGCTACATCTTTCTGGGCATTCATACAAACCTTTGCTGTCTTCAAAATGCCATCGTTGGTTTGGGGGTCTGTAACGATGACGAATTGTTGCTCCTGATCATTTAATATGGTGTATACGGCCTGCCACGCTGGGGTGTGGGGGGTGTCGGCATCTGTCACTTTCAGTGTGGTGATGACAGCATTAACTTCATTCTCATACACCTGACCCTCGTACTGCAATCAATAATCAATCAATTGATCAATCTTGACTGATAGATTCTTGGTTTAAGTCCAAGGCAGGAAGAGACATAAGAACTATAACAAGGCAAGGTGAGCTGACAAGCAGAGGTTTAGGAGGACGTGCCCATCCCAGAAACACTAGAAACAAGGCGTCATATCACGGCATGGAGGAGCCCATAGCCCTGAACAAGTGGTTTCCCAAGGCCCTGAGACTGAGCTCCTCAGCAGTGTCTTCACAGTGATTATTACAGTGATCTGTGCTCTGCTCAGAAGACTTCAGCAATGTCCTCTATGTTCAGGTCTTTTTTTTTTTTTTTTGGTCGGTCATGGGGCTTGAACTCTGGGCCTGGGCACTGTCCCTGAGCTCTTCAGCTCAATGTGAGCATTATACCACTTGAGCCATGGCACCACTTCTGGTTTTCTGGAGGTTTATTGGAAATAAGAGTCTCACGAACTTTCCTGGGCTGGCTTTGAACCGTGACCCTCAGATCTCAGCCTCTTGAGTAGCTAGGATTACAGGCGTGAGCCACTGGCGCCTGGCTTATTCAGGTCTTTCAATGGCTGTTTTTCAGTACTTTCTGTGCACAGAGCAGCTGCCTCCTCGCTTCCTTCCTTCATTTGAAACATGGTCTCACTATGTAGCTCAAGGTGGACTCAAACTTACTAGGTAGCTCAGGCTGGTCTTGCATTCATGATCCCCTTGCCTCAGCCTCCCTGGGATTATAGGTGTGCGCTACCATGCCCAGCAAGCTTCTTCTAGACTCAAATCATTTTGTACACACTGATGCCTCTGCTGAGAATCCTTTTCCTGTTCTACTTCTGCTTTAAGTCTCAATGTAAATATCGCCCACTGTCTTTGTAAAGCCTCCTCATACTCAGTGACTAGGTTAGGATGGCAGATGCTCCTAAATTGCCTATAAATACCTATTCTAGTGGCAGCAATGTGCCCAGTCAGATACCACACTGCTGTATCTCCCTGACCGATGGCAGCTGCCAATGCAATGTCTTAGGAATGTAAAAGTGCTGAATGTAAGGGTAACTAAAGCAATAGCAATGCCTTTTGTGACCTTTGCCTTCCTGCCTTTCCTGAATGAAGAAGACGTGACTAGCTGGAGCCACAGCAGTCGTTTTGGGCCACAAGGTGATATTGTGGGTGCTTTGTACCAAGGATTGTCATCTGTACCTGTTTAAGCCACAATAGCCAAGCCACTGTTACAAACATTAAATCAACGTCTAGGTGATTGAATAAAAAATTAAGTGTTTTTTTTTTGTTGTTGTTGTTTTGTTATCATCATTCTTTTTTGTGTGTGCCAGTACTTCAGGCTTGAACTCTGGGCCTAGACACTGTCCCTAAGCTGTTTTGCTCAAGGTTAGTGGTCAAGGTCATATCACTGCTCCTCTTCTGGCTTTGTGTGGTTAATTGGAGATAAAAATTCTCTTGGACTTTTCCTGCCTGGACTTGGCTTTGAACCCCAATCCTCAGATCTCAGCCTCCTGAGTACCTAGGATTAGAAGCATGAGCCACCAGCACCTCGCTTTAAAATTCTTCTGTTTATTGATTCCTATAACTTGCCACGCATCTCTCTGACTAGAATATAAGTGCCACAAGCCAGGAATCTTGTGATTAGATCATTCATATAACATAATGCCCAGCATAGAAAAGTGGTCCATTAATCCTATCTCCCATTAACCACCAAATAAATATCTGTCGATAAATCCTTGCAGATTGAGGTTAACTTCTACCAGTCTGGAAATGCTATCCAAGGGTTTGCCCAGGAGCAAGTTGTGACCCTCCTTCAGAAAGCAGTAAGGAGACACAGGATTACCGTGGTGGGGTTAAAGATGGGAGCGTTGTCATTGATGTCCATGACGTTGATCACAGCTTTGGCAGTCGTACTTAAGCCTTCACCATTAAGGTCAGCAGCTTGAACCACCAGCGTGTACGTGGGGTAGCTCTGCAGACAGGACCAAACATGCCTGAGTCAGAAGCAGCCCAGGCTGGCTTACGGGGCATCCAGGCTCAGAACCTCAGCCCACATATGGACCCCTGGTTCTGCAGCGTTCTGCACGGTCCAAGGGGATGAGACTAAATATGTTTGCCTTCTCCTCCCACTGGATCCTGATGAGCCCTGACCCACCTCTCGGTCCAGCCCTGTGGTGAACACACTGATGACCCCTGTTTCCTTATTGATGGTGAACATATTCCTGTCGGGCTCCTCCGGCTCTTGGCTGAGGATGGAGTAACCAATGGCAGCATTGTAGGTGTTTACATCGTCATCTGCGTCCGTGGCGGAGACCTGCATCACAGAGGTGCCTAGAGACACCAGAGGAGACTTGAGCACACAGTGTCACATGTGCGTGGATTTGCTCAGGGCCGCTGACCTGCACCTGTCCTGAGTGACATGCCAGGAACCCTTCAGACTTTTGCTATGGGAGCTATGTGGCCTAATTTCTCAAATCCACACCAAAGTGCTAGGAGAGCAGAAGGCATGCCACACCAAATAAGCTGTGGATAGAGAACTGGACACGCCTCGTTTCAAAGGGGGAAGGGAGGAGCACTAGGGATGATAAATAACTGAATGGGATGGAAACTTCCAGAATTCTCTGCCATGGCTTCTCAGCCCCATTTTACTGTCATTTGAGATCACAATCTTCAAGGTGGAAGGGGAAAAAAAGCAAACATAACAAGTGACTAAGATTGGAGGGGTTTTTTGCTTTTCTGTTTCCCCCCACCCCCCTAGTTCTGGGGCTTGAACTCAAGGCTTGGGACTGTCCCTGAGCTTCTTTTTGCACAAGGTTAGCACTCTACCATTTGAGCCACAGTACCACTTAAGGCTTTTTCTGTTTATACCTAGGGCTTCATGCATGTTAGGCAAACACTCTACCACTAAGCCACATTCCCAGCCCTTTTCTGTTTTGAGACCATGTTCTTCTATGTAATCCAGGCTAGCTTTGAACTCAAGATCTTCCTGTCTCTGTTTCCATAGTACTGGACATACTGGCATTCAACACCATGCAAAGCTTTCTAATTATACGAGGGGCCTTGAACTCAGGGAAGAATCTCATCTTTACAAACCTTTTTTGATCATGTCTATAGCTCCACTACTTGAACCACACCTCCAATTCCAAAATTCTTTTAAGAATGAGCAGGTTGTGTAACTCCTCTATATATCAACTTTATAATAATAATTTTTTAAAAACTTAGCAGGAAAGCCTGGCATGGATGTTTCATGTTTGTAATTCTAACTACACAAGAGCCTGAGATCTGAGGATCATGGTTTGAAACTAGCTTAAGTAGGAAAGTCCAAGAGATCTCCAATCTCCAATTAACCATCAAAAAGCTGAAGGTGAGCTAGCAGTGGTGGCTCACACCTATAATCCTAGCTACTCAGAAGGCTGAGATCAGAGGACTGAGATTCAAAGCCAGCCCAGGCAGGAAAGGCTGTGAGACTGACTCTTAACTCTAATTAACCACCTAAAGACTGGAAGTGGTGCTATGGCTCAAAGCACTAGTCTTCAGCAAAAAAAAAGTTCAGGAACAGCACTCAGTTCAAGCACCATGACTGACACAAGAAAAACAGAGAGAGAGAGAGAGACAGACAGACAGACATACAGAGAGACAGACAGACAGACAGAGAGACAGAGAGAAGAGTTGTGTGGGGTTGAAGGTACTAGCCAAGGATCTGTTTCTTAATGAAGAAGTATGTTTTTGCTGGGTGTCAGTGGCTCAGCCTGTAATCCTAGCTATTAAGGAGGCTTAGATCTAAAGATGGAGGTTCAAAGCCAGCCCTGGCAGGAAAGACTGTGAGACTCTGATCTCCAATAAACCACCAGAATACTGGAAGTGGTGCTGTGGCTCAAGTGGTAGAGTGCTAAGCCTTGAGCTGAAGAACTGAGGGACAGCGCCCAGGCCTAGAGTTCAAGCCCTATAACTGACCCAAAAAAAAAGTATGTTCTTAAAATGTTTCTATTGTGTGCATATTCCTATAGCTCAAGTGATCCACGTACACACACAGTCGTTTCCAAAGAACATCCGTCCATATGAAAGGTCAACTTCAGTGACCTTTGGTCCCAAGCTCTAGTGCCAACCCTTTGGGGTCCATAGAGTCTAAGTGTGTGGCTCCTTGTGACCGGAAATACCTGGAAGAGCTCCTTCCATGACTGAGCCCTCAAAGATTGCCTGGGTGAACTCGGGCTTGTTGTCATTCTGATCTGTCACTGTGATCACGATCTCCATTGGGTCTTCCACTGCATTCCCATTGGATGACACGGCATGAGAATAGAGCTATAAGAACCAACAGGGGTTACTTAGGCCCTGGAGGAAGAAGAAGTGGGAGAAGGGGAGGGGTCTGGCCAGAGCAGCTCTGTCTGGCTTTCACTCTTCCCACTCTGACAGGAGCTCCAGTGGGGGACTTTTCTCCCACATGAGCTGCTGCTTCAAGTAGATCATAAAATTGAGACCCATGGGCTGGAGAGCACTCAGGACCCCTCCCCCCCCAAGTCAGACCTCTCATTGCCATGTCAAGAATAGGGGAAAAGTGGGCACTGGTGGTTCACACCTGTAATCCTAGCTACTCAGGAGGCTGAGATCTGAGGATCACCGTTCAAAGCCAGCCTGGATAGAAAAATCCAGGAGACTTTAACCTCCCATTAACCACCAACAGCTAGAAGTAGAACTGTAGCTCAAGTGGTAGAGCACCACCCTTGAGCATAAAATCTAAGGAATATCACCTAGGCCCTGAGTTCAAGCCCCAGTACCAGAAAAGAAAAGAAAAGAAAAAAAAAAAAAAAAAACTAGGGAAGAACATGAATCCTAAAACATTCTCTCCTGAGCTCATATTGCGATCAACTTCCAGAAACAGATTTTGTTCCCCAATACCATCATTCTTCCTCTTCTTTTACATTAAGGAACTTCCAGCCCCAAGAATAGATTGATATCTTAGCCCTAAACTGATACACGATATGAAAAGATTCTCCTTGACATTTTCTCTTAAGAGGAAAAATAAATGAGCAACCCTCCACTCTCCCGGGCTCTCTCTATTTTTTTTAAGGGGGGGAAAGGTCCGGTTGTGGGGCCTGAACTCTGGGCCTGGGCGCTGTCCCTCAGCTCTTCAGCTCAAGGCTAGCGCTCTACCACTTGAGCCATGGTGCCACTTCCAGCTTTTTTCTTTTTGCTTATGTGGTGCTGAAGAATCGAACCCAGGGGCTCATGCATGCAAGGCAAGCGCTCTACCACTGAGCCACCTTCCCAGCCCCCTCTCCCAGGCTCTCTTGTCTTCTCCCCTCGTCAGGATATCAAGATATGCTAAGTTAAGCTCCTCCCCTATCCAGAATGTCTGACCAATCATGGTTTGACCAAAAATTTGAGAAATCTGTTACCCTATGATCAACAAGCTTCCAAGAGACACTCACGATATACTTGGCGATGTCTTCTCTATCCAGTGGCTCGGTCACCTTCAGCCATCCTGTTTCTCTTTCAATAATAAACACGCCCACAGGGGGTTTGTCGGCACCTTGGCCAGTGATGCTATAGAAAACCTTTGTTTCTTTGTCCCTGTTGGATTTGATCTGAAGACAAAAACAGAAAGGAAGAAAATTGGTAAGGAGCGATCCTCACAAAGGCGGTAGGGGAAGCTTTCTCTTTCCTCAGTCAGCCTGACATATTCTCCACAGAGAAATAGACAATGTTTCCTCTACCTGAACCAGGTCTTTAGGAAATGGCCCTTTTTCATTTTCTGGACAGCTGATGGGGGGGATAACCCAGTCCCTCTTCTGTCTTCTGAGACCATGGTGGGAGCTGGGAAATGTGAGCACTTGTGTCTTGTTTTCAGGAGCAAGGTCCTAAAAGAGAAGAAGATACAAAATGAAGTCACTCAGAAGACATACAGTCCAACATATCTACTTAATGTCTCCAGCCTCCGGAGGACAATGTAAGGTTGTAATAGACCAACACAGTCTCTTCTAGATGACAACTTATATATACTATCCTTAATGAAAAGTCAAATCAAAAACCAATGAACCGCCGGGTGCTGGTGGCTCACACCTGTAATCCTAGCCACTCAGGAGGCTGAGATCTGAGGATAGCGGTTTAAAGCCAGCCCGGGCAGGAAAGTGGTGCTATGGCTCAAGTGGTAGAGCGCTTGCCTTGAGCTGAAGAGCAGAGGGACAGTGCCCAGGCCCAGAGTTCAAGCCCAATGTGCACCAAAAAAGAAAAAAAAAAAAAGAACCCTTCAGGATTGGAGCACAGAGGCGCAATGCCATGTGCATCTAATCATATAAAATAATGTTTATCAAAATGAAAATAATATAAAAAAACAATGAACCATTGTCAGTGCTAAAGTCCTTTAAAGGTTTTACTTCCTAAAGTTTCCCCTGTCCGTCTAGAAGGTGAAACTTTAGGAGGTGAAAGCTAGAGAGAGGACTTTGGAATCAATGGGAGGATGCTCTAGAAGGGGATTATGGGAGTCCTAGTCTCTCCTTTGCTTTTGGGATAAGTGGTTTGTTCTGTCACAAACAACCACCGTGATGGGCTTCTCTCACTGAAGGACCAATATGTAAGCCCACTAGATGCTGGACTAGAATCTCCTAACCCATGACCAAAAATCAACTTTTTTGTCTTTATAAGTTAATTGCCTAGAGCCTTTGAAAGTTACAGTGGCAGAAAGCTGACCAAATGTCCATATAATAAACACTATATTCTCTTATGATTCTTCTTAGTGCCCAGAATTCAAGTAATCATTATGCACACACAGTTCTAAATCTGAGAGTTTGTTATTGTTGCTGTTGCTGTGTGCTGGTACTGGGGCTTGAACTCAGGGCCCCGTGCACTCTCCTTTGGCTTTATCGCTCGAGGCTGACATTCTGCCACTTCATCTCCACTTCTGACTTTTTATTTTCTGGTTGATTGGAAATTAGAGTTTCTCAGATTTGTCTGCTCAGGAAGGCACCCTCTCTGCCCAGGCTTTGAACCTTGATTCTCAGATCTCAGCCACCTGAGTAGCTAGTATTACAGGTGCGAGGCACTGGTAGTCTAAGGATTTTGTACTGAAATGTGCAAGTTATTTCAAGGCTGTGTGATAGATCTGTCATCTTTTTTTTTTTTTGGTCAGTCATGGGGCTTGAACTCTGGGCCTCGGCGCTGTCCCTCAGTTCTTCAGCTCAAGGCTAGCACTCTACCACTTGAGCCACAGTGCCACTTTTGGTTTTATGAGTGGTTTATTGGAGGTAAAAGTCTTACGGCAGGGCTGGGAAGGTGGCTCAGTGGTAGAGCACTTGCCTTGCACACCTGAGGCCCTAGGTTCGATTCCTCAGCACCACATAAGAAAAAAGAAAAAAGCCGGAAGTTGGCGCTGTGGCTCAAGTAGTAGAGTGCTAGCCTTGGGCTGAAGAGCTGAGGAACAGCGCCCAAGCCTAGAGTTCAGGCCCCACGACCGGACCCAAAAAAAAAAAAAAGTCTTACGGCCTTTCCTGCCTGGGCTGGCTTTGAACCTCGATCCTCAGATCTCAGCCTTCTGAGATCTGATTACAGGTGTGAGCCACTAGCATCTAGCAGATCTGTCATCTTTATTGCAACTTTGTACTCTAAATGACTTAAAGTTAGACATAATTCATTAGCTTGAATAATCATAGCTTCAATCTATTTTTGTTTTTCCTAAGGGATATAGTTCCCCAAAGTGAAATCAGCAGCCAAACAAGTACGGTTTGGAAACTGATATTAAGAACTACTTTGTGATCAATGCAAACCTCTTAATCTGTAGGATTTCTATTTGTTCTAACAGAGACTATTGGGATAGGAGCCAAAAGAATGCTTGAGACTATTCATGGGCAAAAAAAAAGCCAAACAAACTTTCTGCACACTCGGAGAAATAAGAGAGTTGCGATGGAAAGAAAAGACACAGCAAATTGTTTAAGTGTTTTAAGGTGATTAGTGGTAACACAGTAAAGCTTCTAGAAGCAATTTCCTTCTCTCTCATCTGCAACTGTAGACATGAAGATATTTACTCATGGGCACTGGTCTTTGTGTGCTAAGTTTGATCGAGCCTCACTTCCAGGCTTTAGTTTAGATTCAAAGCCTAAAAATTACAAGCTGGGGCCAGTGGTTCATGCTTGTAATACTAGCTACTGAGATGTGAGGATTGAAATCCAAAGCCAGTTCAGGCAGACAAATCAAGAGACTCTTTACCTCCAACTAATTAGCAAAAAGCCAGAAGTAGAAGTATGGCTTAAATAGCAAAGGGTATCAGCTATGAAGCAAGCTAAGCAATTCAAAGCCCACACCTTGCTTAAGACTGTACTTTGGTAAGAACGCCACACTTGTAGCCAGATGTGAATGTGATGAAGCTAACTTCTGCCTACTACAATATAAGCAGGAAAATTCCATCAACGTTTCTTAACTTTGGAGAAGAAGAAATTAAGATAAATAGCAAAGCAATGTTTCTCTCTCCCCGCCCACCTCCCCTGTTCTGATCAAAAAAAGACTTCTGAAGAGATGATTAGAGTTGCAGCCACAACACAGATCATGATGTAAGCATGGAAGAAAAGCCAGGGACAGTGGGAGAGGAATGTACCCCCAGTACTCTGGAGGCTGAAGCAGGAAGATCCAGAGTTTGAGGCCAACTTAGGCATCATAGGCAACATCTTACAAATGCCATGGGCAGAAAGGAAAGAACCCTCAGCTCCTCAGGACTGTAGAGTCTTCATACTGGGCACAGCGGTTACCCCTGAACTTCTTCAACTTACAAAGAGAATACTCCCCATAAACTCCTCTAATTGGGGATTTTATACAATACAGACTTGATACAGCAGAAATGGAAACCCAGTAGGCAGAGGTGGGGAGGGAAGAAGAGCCAGGCTCAGTCCTGCTTCGCCATAGGCAGATGCCAAGCAAGAATTCCCTGAAGAACTTACATGAATGATGGACCCATTGGAGACAGGTGTTAAGTCCCTCCTTTCTCTGGCCTAATTACACTAGAGAGAAACCTGAGCCCTACCTGAAGGATCATTCCATTCCATGACTATTAGGAGTCTTAAGCCAGGAGCCACTTAAAGGCTTTGCACTTAACAGCACAGCCCTTGTGTCTGAGGCAGTAAGCAAATACATTAGAACATTCCTGGGAGAGACACTTTGTTAGGAAGTGCCATAGGAACAGTTTTTAAACTGGTAATGGTGGTAAGTCAGTGGCTCATGCCTGTAATCATAAATGCTCAGAAGGCTGAGATCTGAGGATCGTAGTTCAAAGCCAGCCCAGGCAGCAAAGTCTGAGACTCTTCTCTCCAATTATCCAGTTATCCACTAATTGGCACTGTAGCTCAAGTGGTAGAACCTTGAGCAAAAAAGCTCAGGGACAGTGCTCAGACTCTGACACACACACACACTGACACACACACACTGACACGCACACACTCACACACACACGCTGGCCTTGAACTTGTTATGTTAGCTTATACACACACACACACACACACACACACACACACTGACACACACACTGACACGCACACACTCACACACACATGCTGGCCTTGAACTTGTTATGTTAGCTTACACACACACACACACACACACACACACACACACACACACACACACACACACACACACACACGGCAAAGGCATTTGTCTTTGGGGAACAACCTCCAGAAACATTCTTGCCAAGAACTTAGAATGACACACATCTTTCCATTCAAAACCAGTTTAGCTAGCCAGACTCCAGGGAAGCAATGGATTGAATGGGCAGGTCTTAAAAGCAATGGGGAAGTGACAGTCTGGAAGGAGCAGAGGCTCTCCACTGCTTCTTCCCCGTTCTTTGCCAAGAAGGCCTCTGCTGAGAAATATGAAGAATGAAATGACTAGAAAAACCACCTCTCACTCCATCCAGTCTCGAGGAAGGAAATGACATCAACAGCTAACAATAAATGAGCGCCTACTACTACAATGTCCCCTCCCCCATCCATGGGCTCAGTTAACTGTAAATTAATTTTTTTTTTCTTTTAAATTATGATGGTGGGGGCTGGGAAGGTGGCTCAGTGGTAGAGCGCTTGCCTTGTATGCCAGAGGCCCTGGGTTCGATTCCTCAGCACCACATAAGCAAAAAGAAAAAAGCTGTAAGTGGCACTGTGGCTCAAGTGGTAGAGCGGTAGCCTTGAGCTGAAGAGCTGAGGGACAGCGCCCAGGCCCAGAGTTCAGGCCCAACGACCGGACCCAAAAAAAAAAATTATGATGGTGGACAGCTGTAAGCCCCAGCATGTAGAAAGCTAGAGTAGTAGGATCCCAAATTTTATGCCAAACTTGTGCTACCTAGCAAGAACCTATCTCAAAAAAAAAAAGTCTCTACTGAACATATACAGTTTTTTTTCCTTGTCATTCTTCAATAAAGTGGAATGATGGATGGGTACAGCATCTATGCTGTGTGAGGTAGTATAATAGGGATTTTTTTAATAGTTTATATGTAAATACTATGCCATTTTATAGAAGGGACTTGAACATCCAGCTGTTTGTATGGATACAGAGTAAGGAGGATTCTGGGGCCAATGCCCCATGGATACCAACCGTGCATGTCTGCCATTTCACACGTCCTTGCTATCATTTTATATAGACAGGGAAACATGCAGTGACAGTAAAGCAATTCCCCCTTGGGTTACCTGGGGTCAATGGACTCAGTCCCAGGCAGGGCCTGTGCCTTCACCCACTGCCCAATATCTGATCCCCACAACTCAGATTTAGGCATGTGCAATGGCTCCACAGAAGCCAGAGTATCTAGAAAGGTTTACTGGCAGGGGGAGGGAAGGGAGCAGGTAATTGGGATTTGAACTCAGGGCCTTACACTGGCTAGGCAGGCTCTCTATCATTTATCAAATGCCCAACCCTATTTGCTTCCATGTTTTTTCTCCTTTCTTTCTTTCTTTTTTTTTTTTTTTTTGTCTTTTTTGTTACTGGCAATCGAACCCAGGATGTTACATTTGCTAGGCAAGCGCTTTGCCACTGAGCTACATCCCAGCCTCTTTCTTTTTTTCTTTCCTTCCTTCCTCCTTTCCTTCTTTCTTTTGTGCTAGTACTGGGATTGAACTCAGAGTCTTGGGCTCTTGCCTTGACTTGTTCACTCAAGGCTGACACTTTGCAACTTGAGCCCTACTTTCACTTACAGCTTTTTTGGCTGGTTAATTGGAGATAAAAGTCCAAACCATGATTCCTAGATTTAGCCTCCTGAGTAGCTAGGATTCCAAGAATGAGTCACTAGTACCTACCTGCTTCCATTGAATAGGGTATTGTAACTGTGCTGGAACCAGCCTGGACTATGATCCAGGCTTCAACCACCCCACTCAGCCTTTTATTATTAGTTGAGATGGACCTTAGGAACTTATTGCCGAGACTGGCCTTGACCCAGCATCCTCCTGATCTCTGCCTCCTAAGTAGTTAGAGTTACAGAGGTGAGCGATCACGTCCTGCTTTGGAAGTATTTTTGGTTCTTTTGCTGTGTGGTAGGTTAAGGCCAGGGATGCTGCTCAATATCCCATAGTGCATAGTCCAAACGTCCATAATGCCAAGGCAGAGCCATGTGAATGGGATAGCAGAGCAGCCTGAAAGAAACAGTGAACTGAGAAACAGCCCATTCCACGCTGGGTGCCAGTGGCTCACACCTGTCATCCTAGTGATTTAGGAGGCTGAGATCTGAGGATCACAGTTCAAAGCCAGCTTGGAAAGTTGTAAGACTCTATCTCTAATTAACCACAAGAAAAATGGGAGTGGTGCTGTGGCTCAAAGTGGTAGAGTGCTACATTTGAGCAAAAGAGCTCAGGGACAGCGCCCAGGCCCTGAGTTCAAGCCCCACAATCAACAAAAAGAAACAGCCCATTCACTAGGACCCAGCCTAGGAATCTATCCAGAGCAGTACAAGTCAGAATGCAGTAAAGATACTTGCGTAGCCACGTTCACTTCTGCACTATTCACAATAGCCAAGTAATGAAAACTGCCCAGATGACCTACAATAGATGAGCGGCTCCATAAAATGTAGTACCTATACACAATGGAATTTTACTCATCCATTACAAAGAAGATTATGTCATTTGCAGGGAAATGGATGGACCTAGAACAAAGCATGCTAAGCTGAGCTCAGAGAGGCAAATGGCGATGTTTTCTCTCCTGTGTGGAAGGTGGATTTAAAATATAATGATAAGGGCTGGGAAGTTGGCTCAGTGGTAGAGCGCTTGTCTCGAATGTATAAGGCCCTGGGTTCGATTCCTCAGCACTACATAAGCAGAAAAAGTGGCGCTGTGGCTCAAGTGATAAGAGTGCTAGCCTTGAGCTGAAGAGCTGAGGGACAGCGCCCAGGCCCAGAGTTCAGGCCCCATGACTGACCCCCCCGCAAAAAAAAAAATAGATAGATATTGACAAAACCTAGGACTACAGGTACTCTAGCCACCCCCTCCCTCCACACACACAGTGTCAGACTAACGGAGATCCCCTTAGGGGAGGAACACAATAGTATAACTTCTCCGGACATTCAAAATAATATTTCTTGAAAATACTCCCAGGAAATGGAAACAAAGGTTGGTTTTAGGGGAGATTTGATGTTGGTAGTATTGGTATTTGCTTTTCTTTTTGTGGGGGGTAGGAGCAAAGGGAAGAGCGTAGCAGGGGAGAAGGGTAAACAAATGCAATCCTGTTACTCAGTAGACATTTCCACTATGTGGAAAATGACCTATGTAACTTGTGGGCAGAGGTGGAAGGGGGAAACTGGGAGGAATGCACTCATTACCTGACTTATGAAATGGTAACCCCGCTGTACAACACCTTAATAATAACAACACAATTATAATTTAAAAAGAGAGAGCGAGAGAAACAGCCCAACATACACGGTGGTGGTGGTGGTGGTGGCGTCCCACTGCCTTCAGTGTCACCTTGACGGAGAACTTCTTGTAGGTGGAGTCCCAGGTGTGGACCAAAAAACTGGTCTCTACTTTATGCAGCTGTAGAGGTCTTTTGACGGAGACCACACCATCTGTGGCCACTTTGAATCGGGAGTCATCAGAAAAGTAGACTGTCCTTGGCCGGCCGGTGCAGCCTTCAAAACTCACTGCAGAACAGAAAGCACAGGGGTGAGAAAATGGACAGCTTTATGGACAAGGACCTTTGTTTACAGGCCAAACCAGGCTTAAGTTAATGCTTCACAGTTATAGGGTGGAGGGGCGGGGGCTAATTTCTTTCTCACATACTTTCCAAGTAAAATCATGATCTTGTCTAGAAAGTAATTATCCTAGCTAGGGGCCAGTGCTTTGCATTTATAATCCCAGCTACTCAGGAGGCTAAGATCTAAGGATCATAGTTCCCAGCCAGCCAGGACAGGAAAGGCCGTGAGACTCTTACCTGCTATTAACCACTAGGAAGCTGGAAGTGGAGCTATGGCTCAAAGTGGTAGAGCACCAGCCTTAAGCAAAAAGAGCTCAGGAGTAGCACCTAGGCTCTGAGTTCAAACACCCTGACCAGCATGCATGCATGCATGCATGCATAAATAAATAGATAGATAGATAGATAGATAGATAGAGTAAAAGAAGGTGACACAGAGATAGATAGATAGATAGATAGATAGATAGATAGATAGATAGATAGATAGATAGATAGATAGATAGATAGATAGATAGATAGAGTAAAAGAAGGTGACACAGAGAGGAGCTGGCGAGTTTGGAGAAGGTATAATTTACATTGAACAGTGAATGCAGGCCTCTCTGGAGGTAGAAACATACAAGACCTGACAGAGTCAGCTTTGCAAGAAACCTTGCTTAAGAGCCTCCTAAGCCCAGCACAGTGTGAGGTACCTCTGTAGTCCCAACTCCTCAGGAGGCTGAGATGGGAGAGGCACTGGGTCCCAGAGTCAAAGGCCTAAGCACCATAGCAAGACCTTGTCTCAAGATGAAAGAAAGAAAGACAGAGAGAGAGAGAGAGAGAGAGAAAACGAGAAAGGAAGGAAGGAAGGAAGAAAGAGAGAGAGAGAGAGAGAAGAAAAAAGTTTTTTTGAAATGAAACGAAGAAATTTTTCAGGCAGAGGAAACAGCTGAAAAAAAATAGTTCATTCTAAGGAAACTCAGAAGTCAGCCAGCCTTTGTCCCTTTCAAACAATAGCCTCTCTCATCCCACCAATGACATTTCTATTTCAGTCCACACGTTCTTTTTTTTAAAAAAATTCCTGCTGCTATGCTTATTTTACGAGTCTAGACACCTTTACATTAGGGAGGATCCAATTTCTGCCAAAAAGCCCCCAAGCCACCCTGAATGCCTATTTGGCCGGTCTCATTTCTTCCACCAGGGGGCACTCTCATACACATGTCTAAAGCAAAAGGTCCAATTAGAGAAAGTAAGACTATATTTGAGGGCCAGTGGATGCCCCATGTTGAAAGGCTCAAGATTAAGAAATTGACATGCCAATGCCAGGTACTAGTGGCTCATGCCTGTATTCCTAGCTACTCAGGAGGCTGAGATCTGGGATCATGGATCAAAGCCAGCCTAGGCAGGAAAGTCTGTGAAACTCTCATCTCCAATTAACCAGCAGAAAACCAGAAGTGGAGCTGTGGCTTAAAGTGCTAGAGTGCTACCCTTAAGTACAAGAGTTAAGGGACAGTGCCCAGGACTTGAGTTCAACTGAGGAAGGAAGGAAGGAAGGAAGGAAGGAAGGAAGGAAGGAAGGAAGGAAGGAAGGAAGGAAGGAAGGAAGGAAGGAAGGAAGGAAGGAAGGAAGGAAGGAAGGAAGGAAGGGAGGGAGGGAGGGAGGGAGGGAGGGAGGAAGGAAGGGAGGGAGGAAGGGAGGGAGAGAGGGAGGGAGGGAGGGAGAGAGGGAGAGAGGGAGAGAGGGAGAGAGGGAGAGAGGGAGAGAGGGAGAGAGGGAGAGAGGGAGAGAGGGGAAAGAAAGAAAAGAAAAGAAAGAAAGAAAGAGAAAGAAAGAAAAAAAGAAAGAGAAAGAAACAAACTGACATACCATCTCCTTAAATATTAAAGAGCAGAGTTGCTTTGGACTCTTGAAGGGAACCAGAATTACCCCCCGAAGAAACTTCTTGAACAGAAATATTTTTGAACCAAACACACTGAGAGGCAGTAGTTATAGAAAGGTCTGTCTGAACTGCTTCTTAACTATAGTCAGCCAGTGCACCAACATCGCCCTGCCCCAGCAGCTATGAGATACTGCTGCATGGAACTGGATAAGTTAATTATAAGACTTCCCCTCACCTGTCTAGTGCCTGGTGCCTCCCCTAGGATTTACTGTTCTAAGCTCAGAACCTTGTCTGCTCATTTCTTCACAAGATTCATCATCTTTGTTTTTTGTTTTGTTTTGTGTTTTTTTGTGGTTTTCTTTGCCAGTCCTGGGGCTTGAACTCAGAGCCTGGGCACTCTCCTTGAACTTCTTTTGCTCAAGGCTAGTGCTCTAGCACTTGAGCCACAGCACCACGTCTGGCCTTTTCTGTTTATGTGGTACTGGGGAATGGAACCCAGGTCTTCATGCATGCTAGGCAAGCACTCCACCACTAAGCCACATTTCCAGCCCTCATTCTTTGTCTAGAAAGCTTTCTGTTTTAGCCACAAAGTCTTTATTCCTGTAGGGATCCCTGGGTGATACAAAAATTAACAGAACATACATGTTTTTCTCATTAATTTGTCTTGTGATAAGACTCCCTTCCCCTACCCCTCTCACCCCCACCCCGTGAAAACAAAGCTGGAAGCCAGCTGCTGGTGGATCATGCCTGTCATCCTAGCTACTCAGGAGGCTGAGATCTGAGGATTGAAGTTCAATGCCAACCCAGGCAGGAAAGTGTGTGAGACTCTTGTCTCCAAATAAGCAACAAAAAAGCCACAACTGGAGCTTTAGCTCAAATGGTAGAGTACAAACCTTGAGCAATATAAGCTCAGGGATAGAGCCCAGGCCCTGAATTTAAGCCCCAGGAATGGCATGCACATACACACACATACAACTAAGATGGCAGTTGAGTGTGGTAGCATAGACCTATAATCTCAGCACTTGGGAAGTTGAGGCAAGAGAATCCCAGGTTTGAAGCCAGTCTGCTCTACAATCTCCTGGGCATCTTTAACGTGGGTCATTTACTCACAGGGTTGGCTCTGTTTCACACATGCCAAACACGTGCTCTGCCACTGAGTTATACCCAGCCTCAAGCCTGGACTATTTTTTAAAGAACAGTAGAAATCTGAGGCCACTGTGGTGCAAAGAGTCTCCTATCAGGCAAATAACCAAATGGAGACCATGCCAACAAGAGGCGGAGCCTAAGAAGGGAGGCAGACCTTCACATAACCACCCACCTACCTTCCCTCCCAAGTTGTTAAAAGCAACCCAAGCCTGGCGCAGCTCACACCTGTAATCCTAACTACTCAGGAGGCTGAGATGCTAGATAGGAGGATCTCTTGGGCAAAGTTAGGGAGATGCTATCTCCAAAAGAAAACACAAAAGCTTGGGGGGTTATGGCTCTGGTGGTAGAGCATAACCAAAGTCCTCGGTTTGATCATCAATAGTGGGTAGGGGGAACAGCCCAGATGCCCCACCACAGATAAATGGCTCCAAAAATTGTGGTATCTATACACAATGGAATATTATGTAGCCATTAGAAAGGACAAAATAATGGCGTTTGCAGGAAAATGGATGGAGCTAGAAGAAATCATGTTGAGCGAGGTAAGCCAAGAGCAATGAGACAAACGGCACATGGTCTCCCTGATAAGTGGATGTTAAATCCAAAATGTAAGGTGATTCGACAAAATTAACAGGACTTAAGAAACAAAGGACGGGCTGGGAAGGTGGCTCCGTGGTAGAGCGCTTGCCTTGCATGCATGAAGCCCTGGGTTCGATTCCTCAGCACCACATAAGCAAAAAGAAAAAAGCTGGAAGTGGCTCTATGGCTCAAGTGGTAGAGCGTTAGCCTTGAGCTGAAGAGCTGAGGGACAGCGCCCAGGCCCAGAGTTTAGGCCCCATGACAGTACCCCCCCCCCAAAAAAAAAAGAAAAGAAAAGAAAGAAAAGAAAAGAAACAAAGGACTTCCACGCATCTGGTCGAATCATTACTAAATAACCCCATGCTGCTGATCACATGTATGGTATATATGTGCACACCGGAGGGAAACCAGGAGGACGACACAGAACTAGAGGGAATCAGGGAAAAACATACAACAGCGGAACCCATCAGCTGCACTGGACATTGACCAAAATGAACTAAGCAACTCAATGGCAGCGCTGGGAGGGAGGGAACAAGTGGGAAAGAGGGAACAGCTGATGCTATGCAAAACAAAAGAAATGTACATACCACCCAACATAAAAGAAATAACTGTATCGCAAAGCTCATAGAACTCATAAGTGTTATAGACCACGATAGACAATTTGCTCCGGGAAAGTTAGAATGTGTGACTTTAACTAAGCATCACTATCCCACAATACTGTGAAATTTGGGAAATTATGTAATCACTTAATCACAATAAAAATTTTGAAAAAAAAATAGTGGGTAGGAGGGAGCACAGAGAAAAGCTGGTCTCAAGAGAACTGCCAGGGGGCTGGGAAGGTGGCTCAGTGGTAGAGTGCTTGCCTTGCATGCATGAGGCCCTGGGTTCGATTCCTCAGCACCACATAAGCAAAAAGAAAAAAGCCGGAAGTGGCGCTGTGGCTCAAGTGGTAGAGCACTAGCCTTGAGCTGAAGAGCTGAGGGACAGTGCCCAGGCCCAGAGTTCAGGCCCCACGACCGGACCCAAAAACAAACAAACAAACAAACAAAACAAAGAACTGCCAGGGATCACTGGGATTCAGATTCAGTCACCTTTCTGCTGGGTAGCCTTGAACCAATAGCTTAACTAACCTCTCTGGGCCTCTGTTGGCTCTATTGTAACAAGAAGGCTGCCTATCAGGGTTTTGTGCAAATGACCCAAGATAGAGACACAATCACATTTTGTAAGCTGCAGAGCTGGAGTGGGCAGAAGAGATGATTATTTCCATACTTTCAGGCACACAAGACAGAAAGGACAGGAATTTGCTCAATGAACACCGGGACCAGGACACAATACACTCAGAAAAAGAGGGGCCAGGTCCTTACAGACAGCA